TCTCTCTCTCTCTCTCTCTCTTTCAGCTGAGTATTTCAAGTATTCGCTAACAACAATAAAAACCAAGACCGCTTTCCTCCCTTCCCGTCTTTTCTATCCACTCCTACCCCAGCCCTTCCATTCTCCACCCCACTCTTTCCTCTTCTGGAAACCTTCCAGTGGAGACTGAGTGAGCCTCACCTGGTGTGTGCACTGTCTTTATGAACTCATAGACTTTTAGAGCTAGAAGGAAACTCAGGGATTATGATCAAAGTTGACTGTATGATTTACTCAATGAAGACACTGAACAGTTTGCTCAGAACAACAGTTGGACAGTGTCAAAGCTGGAGGTGGAATTGGTCCTAGGGCTGGAGCATGCATTTCAGCCTCTCTGACCCCTGGCCTGACAAGTAGCTCTCACTACATATTGGATATGAACCATACTGGCTGCTTTATCTTATAAACAACTATACACACACATTGCAGAGGCATCCCATAATACTAGACTATATGATACAAACAGTGTGAGAGAGCATTGTGTTTCTACATGGTATTAATACCACAGTGCTTATTTTTGTACACGAAATGTTTCTATTAAGTACATGTAAATAAAAAGTAAATTGGGAATATGTAAAAATACTCTACACTCAATCTGGCTGTGGCAGAGAGCCAGATGTTGCTGCTGCTACACACAAACACTGTTGTAGAATGTGATCTCCCAAATTGACAGTCCTGTATAGAAGGAAAGGGTGGGGAGGGTCATTGGATCCTCATCTGAGATTCTGGCCCCTCCTCCTGGTTATTTTTCCACGTGGCTTTGGGGTAGAGGAAGGTGTTAGAGTATATTGTCTGGAGAAAGTTAACAGAAGGTGGCTCTGTCTATATGAATATGGGGAAGTCATAATCTATGCTGAATGAAGACTTCATGTGTGGTGCTTTACGATCCTGCTGGCAATCCCTCACCACTTTGTAACTGAGCCCAAAACATTCTCTAGTTTCCCAGTGTGAACCTTGTAGGACTGGGGGTTTTTGCTTGGGACTTCACAAAGACAGGGGTGAACATTATTTACTCCCCCCCCCCGGAAATAATTCTTGTATCACATGCACATCCACACATGTACATGCATGTACGTTCTCTCTCTCTCTCTTACTCTCTCTCTCTCTCTCTCTCTCTCTCTCTCTCTCTCTCTCTCTCTCTCTCTCTCTCGCTCTCTCTCTCTCCTCCTTCCCTACCTCTCTCTCAGGTTGAGGTTTCATAAAGCCTATAGTTCAGGGACATGACCTTGATTTCGCCTCACAAGGTACCAGGCAGAAACCTCAGTTGAACCTGGATTTCTGATTTGCAGAACCACAAAATAATGAAAGGATATTTTAAGCTGACAAGTTTGTAGTGATTTGTTATGCACCAACAAAAACATGAGACATTCTATTATTCATCGTTCATTTTTAAAATGTGAAGTTCAATACACACATTGTGGAAAGTACAGATACTGATGTCACGGTGTTGAGGAAGAGAAGTATAGGAAATAGCTTAGCAATCTGAGACTCTGCTTGGCTTGGGATATATCTCTTTTAACAATGCACCTGATAGCCTGGACTTCATACCTCTCTCTCTCTCTCTCTCTCTCTCTCTCTCTCTCTCTCTCCTTTCTAGGGAACTTACCTGTCAACGTGTTTGCAACCTAGGACCTCTGTCTGCCTTGGTCTGCATGCACAACCCGCTCTAAAGAATGCAATGTTGGTTTCTCCTTTCCTTAACAACCATCAAACTTAGACAGATTCTATTCAACCATACTTTAATTATGTTCTGGTGTGGAGTAGGAAGGTCAGTCTAGCCTGAACTAGTTTTGGGTGCATTTTCAATAAGGCAAACGATGTCCTTAAACTGCAAAAAAAATTTTGGTAGAATCTCATATTTGCCACTTTATGACTGTACATAATTGGGCATGCAAATGATTAAAATCAGATAAATTAGGGGAAAGGACATATGTAGAGAAGAGGTTCTATAACTTAATATATCAATCAAGACAAAAACCCCACCCACACCCTAAAACAACAACAACAAAATCATCTTTTATTTGAAGCCCATTAAAGGAAGTGCCAAGCTGGGTGGTGGTGTCACACGCCTTTAATCCCAGCACTTGGGAGGCAGAGGTAGGAGGATTTCTGAGTTCGAGGCCAGCCTGGTCTACAGAGTGAGTTCCAGGACAGCTAGAACTACACAGAGAAACCCTGTCTCGAAAAAACAAAAAACAAAAAACAAAAAAAAAAGGGAAATGCCAAACAGCAATTGGGCCTTGAGTCCTCTCACTCTTGGGGCCTGTTGTCACTCTTGACAGACTATCTGACCTCCTCTATTGCTTTGTTACATTTACAATTTTATGTGAGCCATTATTTTAGTTCTTTGAATAAGAGACCAAGAATCTGGACATAACCAGTCCAGGTCCCATACCCCAGTAACAATTTGAGCAATTATGATAAAAAGCATAAACCCTTAATTAAGGCAAAGATAACTTCTAGCACCCAGGAATCTCTTCCCACTCTACCCCACCCCAGAAGTAGCTGCTCCTCCGGTTTTTACCACCCTGGTTAGTTTTGTCTGATTTAGAAATTCATATAACTGGAATCATACAGCATATATTTTTTTTGCTGCATACTGGTTTTGAAATTCATCCGTCTTGTTGTGTATAACTGTAGTTGATTCATGATTATTTCCCAGGAACACTCCACTTTGTGGATGCACAAGAGGTTTGCTTATATGTTAGCTTGGTTATAAACATCATGGCTTATAGTTATGCGTTAAGCTATTAAGAAGAGAGACTTTTGTGGTCATTTTTCATTCCTCTTGGATAGGTACCAGTAAATGGAACTACTGGATGATAGCGCACATATTATTGCTCTGATAGGCCTGACCATGTTTTTGTTCGGAGGAATGTGGATTTGGGGACTTTGAATTAAGAAAACAGTGGAATGCTTTAAGTGGGGCTTAATGGGCCATACTAGTAAAAGCATGGAAGACAGTCATGATCAGTGTGATTTGAACTCTCGGGGGCCCGGCTAAAGAGATTTTAGAGAAGAATTTTAGTATATTGCCTAGAGATTGTTCTTGAGATATTATGGTGACAAATATGGCTGTTCTTTGCCCTTGTCTGAAGAGTCTGCCTGAGGCTAAGGTGAAGAGATTTAAATTAATTGCTTTGGTAAAGGAAATCTCAAAACAGCCTAGACTCTGTCCTGTGGTTCACTATCATGAGAAGTGGGTTTTGCAAGTGGAGCAAGCTGCACAAGAAAAAGTACAAAATATATGGTTCAGGGATTAAAGGGGCACCAGGAGGTGCAATGGAGCTAAATCCTGTGTTCTGGAGATAAACAGATTAAAGATATTTAGTGGAATTAAGGGAGTGGGGACCTCAGTGCAAGATTCTACCCAGCTAAGCTTTCATCTTGTGAAAAGAATGTTCCTCAAAGGACATTGGCACCTACTATAAATTTACAATGCATTTTCAGTTGTACAAGGGATAGTTGTATCATATTAGGCATTATTATGACCTGGTAATTGTTTTTATTTGGACATAGGAGATATGTTCAAGGGGTAGATTGTGATGGCTAGTCACAGTTGCCAACTTTACTATATCTGAAATGAACTACAATCCAGAAATGGATGGCACACCTGATCTGGATCTTAAGGCAGAAGATAATATGCCTTTATTCCAGATCTTGAATCTGGGAGACACAGGCTTTGATCTGGATCTTGAGGTAGGATGATATACACTTTTGATCTAGACCAACATATGCCTTTAATCCAGATCTTGAGACATGGTGGCCATATTCATAAAGATCTATATTTAAAACGAATTAAAGAAAAGCTTAGGTCCAGGCATGTATCCCAGCACTCAGGAAACAGAAGCAGGCAGATCTCTGAGTTCAAGGTCATCCTGGTCCACAGAGCAAGTTTCAGAACAGCCAATCTTAGGCAGTGAAGGAAACTATCGAAAACAGAAAGACTGGTGAAGGTGAAATTGAACAAGGGGACCATGTTGCAGCACTAGCAAGCGGCAGAACTTGGCAGCTTTGCCTCATGGTTCTGGCTTTAACGTCAAGAGTGGAATTTCCCTCTGCAGCTAAGGAAAGCCAGGAATGTGTCAGAGGTGTCTCTGAAGAGAGGCCCAGAAAGGCTATTGTGTGAAGCTGTAAAAGGCCATTGTGTGAAGCTCTGAAGTTGAAGCCTGGATTACCTTGGAGATCCTGAGGTGTTGGAGCTGCCATAGTTGTGGGATACCTACCAAGGAAAACTGCTAACCGAGAGTAGAGACAACCCAAGAGAAAGAAGTGTGTTGCAGATAACAAAGATTAAAGGAGTTAGAGATCTGAGGAGTGCTTTGACATCAGACATGAAGATGCAGTTTGGAGTTTGCCCAGCTTGTTTTTGCTCTTCGTTTGGTCCAGTATTTTCTCACTGTGTTCCTTTCCCTATGGCTAGTAGGAGTAATATAAATCCTGGGCCATGATATGTTGGAAATATGTGACCTGCTTTTATATTTTGATTTTATCGGGGATTACAATTAAGAAATTGCATGCTTCTCAAAAGAGACTTCGAACCTTGTACTTTTAAACATTGTTGAGACTGTGATGTATTATGGGGACTTTTAAGTTGGATTAAATGTGTTTTGCATTATGTTATGGCTGCAAGCCTAAGGGAACCTAGGAGTGAAGTGTAGTGGTTTGAATAGGTTTGGCTCTCAGAGATTCATGTGTTTGAATGCTTGGTCCACAGGGAATGGCACTATGAGGAGGTATGGCCTAGTGGAGGAAGCATGTCACTGTGGAGGCAGGCCTTTGAGGTCTTAAATGCTCAAACTATGCCCAGTGTGGGACTTATCCAGTCTCCTCCTGGCTGCCTTTGGATCAAGATATAGAACTCTTCGTTCCTCTAGTGCCGTTCTGTCTGCACACTGCCATGCTTCCTGCCACAATGATGATGGACTGAACCTCTGAAACTGCAAGCCAGCCCCAATTAAATGTTCATATTTATAAGAGTTGCCTTGGTCATGGCAGCAATAAAACCCTAATTAAGACAAGATGGGACTATATGGTTAGATAGAGTGGGGCTGCAGTTCTTTCATTCTCTGGGGCAGCCTAGACTGGACCCCAACAAGAGATACTTTTACAGCATCTACGATCTCCTCCCCTCCTTTCCCACCTCCTTGTTCTGAGACATAGATTTGCAGAAATTTCCTTGGTTTGGTGTTTGCTGCCTAGACAGTTTAGTAAGGTGAGACATACCTGACGCTAGAGATCGCCATCACCCACTGATCACAGTCGTCGAGATCATCGGTCCTCAGCTCTAAGGGCTTCTGGTTTTCACTGGAGAAGATCACTGTGAAGTAATACTGGTGCACAGAGAAAAAGACACAGACACCTCCAGTTAGCAGGATGCTCACAAGTCCCATAGCATTCGCAGCTGTAATGCTGAGTGCTTGCTGCTACAGCAGCTGGCTCCAGATACATTCTTTGTAATCGCTGGAATACAGCGATTTAGTACTTTAAAGTGCTCAATCCAAAAGGATTTTGTGTGGCGTAACAAAACCCAGGCCTAGGATGTGATAAGGAGGCAAAGTCTACAAAGCCTTATTTGCTAGTCAATTACAAACAAACAAACAAACAAACAAGCCAGTTCGAAACCATCAGGCACCCTGGAAGGACAGCAGGGGAAACCCTCCAAGAGAACATCTCTGTGGGAGGGCTGGGTACCAATTCAATGTAGCATGCCTTTAATTACTCCATGAAAATTGACTAAGAACTCATCTAAATGCTGAGGTGAAGGAATCAAATCAATGGTACAGTCCCCAGAAAACTACATCATAACCACTTCTGTGCTAGGCGCAGGTGTCTGACTTCAGGCTCAGTCAGTGGTGGGGCCAGCCTCCCTGAGGTCTCTGGGGAGCTGAGGAGCCAAATCAGAGACACACATCTATAGGGTTGTTATGGCAGTTAAGTACCCATGAAGCTCTCTGAACACCACCTGTCACTAAGTAAGGATGGCGTGAATGTGTGCAGTAATTAATGCCATCTGATTGCTATCATGCTCAAGGTGAAAGGGACTGAATAGTACAGAGGAAGCCAGCCACTGAAAAGGAGCTTCTCAGAGGATGTGTCTTGGGTCCTGGTTCTCCTTCAAGTTGGTTGGAAGACTGTGGGTGACAACACAGGTACCCGGAGCCTGTGACCTTCTGTGAGTAGAAGAGATACACAGCAGAGAGAGGAAAGGCAGAAGAGTACTCCTACATAGGAACTCAGGGGTGCAGAATACAAGGCGAGAGGAGCCAGGGTGAGATCTTGGTTTCTGGTTTGAGTAACGGAAGTGCCATAAATAGGGCTCTATAGGTGGTTGGGTGGGGCAGGATGAGTTGAGATGAGCATACAGAATGTAGGGTTCCAGGGACAGCTTTGAGGTCAAGAGAGAAGCTGAGAAGCCATTCAGATGGATGGAGAATCCAAAACTGGGGCCACTAGCTCTATCTCTTAGAAAGAAGCAGGGTAAGGTGCAAAGAAAGGCCTTGGGCCGGACCTTTGGAAGTGTGCCATTCAGGGTACCTGTGTTTCAGTGCCTCAGTGCCCAAGTGACTGAAAGCGGCAGCATGAGGTGAGATGTGTAAACTAATTTTAGTGTCTTACTTGTAGTGGTGTGTGTGTGTGTGTGTGTGTGTCTGTGTGTCTGTGTGTCTGTGTGTCTGTGTGTCTGTGTGTCTGTGTTAGGGGGTTGGGGGGGAGACTTATTGCAGAGTTAGTACTATCTCTTGTTTACTAAGAAACAGATAAGTGGGCCAGCCACATAAAATGTCAGCTCCAGCCTTGAACTGCTGAAGAAGAGCTCTACAGGCACTGGTCCTGTGGGAAGGAAGCAGGTTAAGAGAGGAGCTGCAGAAGGCTACTCAGCTCCTTCTCCATCTCAGGACAGGAAAGGAGCCTATAAAATTTCATTTTACATGATCTTGTTTCATCCCATAGCCACCAAATGCTGCAGGCATCATTTGCTTTTCAGCTGATGACCCCAGACACTTAGAGACACCGTGTAAGTGGAGAGTGAAGGAGCCAATTGACACACCTCCTACTTGGGGTCTGACCTTTGGCACTGGGATACAGATTGCTAACGTTTCCTCTGCAGTGTTGGAACCTCTGAGATGCACTGACCCATGTGTGGGGCTGGGATTGCTCAAGGCCAGGGCCTGAATGTTCTGTAGTGTTCTCAGCCCCACCCTGTGCTGGTTCTGACAGACCAATAAATGGCTGAAGGGGAGGATGAATGAGATGAGGAGGCTTTACCCAACCCTGACCTTGAGGTCTCTGTAAGGCACCAGGAAGGATGTAGCTCTTTCTGGGCTCACATTAATAATGACTCGACAGAACTCTCCTGAGCTCATGCCCCATGGCGGTCATCATGCTGAACATCGCAAAGCCCCCATGGAGGGCAGGACCGTAGGTTTGCTGCTTTTCGATGGCTGGAGTCTGGATCTGATGTTTTATTTTGATTATCATCAGGATAGGCTCCCCCAAATACATAGAGCTCAGGGATGGGCTCAGGGGGATAGCATTTCCTCTGTGCCAGCCTGTTTCTCACCTACTCCCCATCCAGGATGGTGATTAGAGAAACTTCTGTGGAAGGGGGTTCTGGTGTTAAAGTTAAAGGAAGGGAAGTCTTTTGTGGAGGTGTGAGAATAGCCAAGATTATGAATTAGCCCCTGAGTCTGAAAATGAGGGAAGACAAGGATTTAGAGAAAAGGTGACAGTGAAGGGACTCCCTTTTGCATCTAACTGGGACCCTGAGGTCTACGAGCTAAGAAAGCCTTGGCTTTTGCTGCTCCCTTTCTCCTGCCAACATCTTATTGGGAAGTTCAGGTGTTTGGAAACATTGGCAGGGTTTTATAGGAAAGCCGACATAAACTACCATCTGGGCTCCTGTTGTATTCTGCAGCCCTCGAGGACAACCTTGGCTTTCATGAGTGGCTCCTGGTGAGTAGTCATTCCAGATGGAAGGTTCCTCTCTACAATTTGGCACAGATGCCTAAGGACAACGGAAACACCTTCCTGCACCACAGAATGGCTCTTTGCGGTCCTCCTTGGCTGGTACCAATGGTACGGTATGTTGCTTGAGCTTGGGAAACATCTGGTGCTAATCGCTGAGGGCATGTGTGGCTCTGGTTTAATTGTTTCCTGTTTCCTATAGGTATGGGACCTACGCTGTGAGAGGTTCAGGTGTCCCCTTGATCCGGGACTTGGGAGAATGAGAACATGGAAGAGTCAGGGCTGTAATACTGTGGCTTTACAGGCCAATTTGGGTCAAGTAGTACATACCTCATCTGCCCCTGCACCACGAGCTGCCCCTTCCTGGGGCAAAGCATGACAAAGGTAAGGAGACAGGTATATTCACTCCAGCCTCCGTAAAAGGAGGTTAAAGGAAAAGGGAGACTGTGTTTGGAAGAACTTCTTCCCTTCTGTTTTTTTTTTTTTGTGTATGTGTTCATATGTGTGTGTGCATGAGCATGAGTGTGTATGTACGTTCATGTGTGTGTATGTGTTTGCATGTTCATATGTGTTCATGTGTGTGTGTGAGAGAGCCTGAGTGTGTATGTGCGTAACTTGTGTGGGGGCCAGAAGTTGACTGTCCTCTTCAATTGCTTTCTACCTTACGTTTTTGCCTCCCCAGTGCTGGGATTACCCAGAGGCCATCACGCCTGGCCTTTCCGTGGTCCTGGGGATCCAAGTTCAGGTTCTCTTGGTTGCCCAGCATGCACTTCCTCAGTAGCCCATCTTCCCAGCCTATTTACTTCCTTTTGAGGTGAAGAAATGGTTGACTTCACTGAGGGAGGAGAAATGAAAGGGCAGGTCATATTCTTATGTATTTGGGGACAGCAATGGAAAGCTCTGGGGCCTTGTGTTTTATGATAAATTCTATGCCAGCATGTTTTGCTAGACAGATAACCTTGAGCAATGTCTAGTGGGTTTTACCCGTTTCTTCATCTACACAACGGACATGAAGAGGCTCTCTTCCTTTCGTAGCTCTCCTAAGGTCCAATTGTGAGAATGCTGGTGCCGTCCTGACTACAAGTCCCCATTGCATGTTTGCTACTCTTTTGATTTTCTTACTGTCTTTATAGCATTACCCCATAGCAGCCCTGTTGGACAAGACAGCTGAGCCTAATTCAGGGTGGATACTTCTTGGCTGGTATGATTTGCTGCAGGTATGCGATAAAAATATTGTTCTCTTTCAGGCCCGGATCCAGTGTAGAGATTTGGGGCCAAGTTTTGGGCAGCATTAAATGTACAGAGCTCCTGAGGGTTTGCAGTGCCCATCTCATGGCTGATTAGTGATAGATAGCCCAGGAACAGATTGAAAATCAGTCTGAGCCTTCCCTGTGGTTCAGAAACCCTCATATCTATCTTCTGGTCCTCATTCCTTGGAAAGTAGCCACAGACCCAGACTGGCTCACGTACATCCATAAGGAGACAAGCTGAAGGGGATGCTGGCCACAGCAGCTGTGCTTTCAATAGCTCTACCTCTCATGACCCAGGGTAAGACTTGTCCCCTGTCACTGTGTCTTGTACAGCGAGTAAGCTTCTGGCTTGGATGAGCCAAGATTCTGTAACGATACCTTGGTTATTTGAGCTGGGAAAGATAACACATCTTCCTGTTCTTTCCGTGCCTTCTTGTCTAGATCTTTTAATTCTCTGCTGGTCATGGTTCCTGTCCTTCTCCTTACTACCCACTCCTTATCTCCCTACCCTTCACAGGACAGGTGGCTCCCAAGAGCCGCAGCATTAACTACCCCATGGGGGCAGGAATTTTGAAAGAGGGAACTGTCCACAGAAGTGACAAGCCATTTTGAAGTCTCCAGGAGGAAATAATACATTTGGACTCCAAACCCTGACGCCTGCCACAACCACAGTATGATTCCTGAGAATTATGAATTTATGGGACATTTATAGATCTTCCCCCCACCCCAAATGAAACAGAGATAGGCCTGGTGTTCCACATATCCCAGAACTCTAGGGACTGTGGCAAGAAGATCTCATGTTTGAGGCTAGCCTGGGCTACCTAGACGCTGGCTCAAAAAAAAAAATAGGTAAGTAAATCAATAAGACAAAAAGGTTATTCTACATTGACTATGTTCCAGAAATAATTCTTTGGCTGCAGGACTGCCCAGTAAATTCCTGCTGTCCATGTGGTGTCAAAATCTTTTTCATAAAATGCCTGTCCCCCAGCAATCTTGTTGGCTCCACTGCCCACTCCTGAGGGGTAAATTCAACACCACCTGCTTTGAGGATCTTGCTATTAACCAATTAACTAATGAGCTGGTCTAATGAGTTTGGTCACCCACTCAGCAAACAAGGACAGCTCCATGCCTAGCGCAAGGCACAGCGCCAGACTGCAGGGCTGTTTCTTAGTCAGAAATGACTTCTCTGAAAGGACAGGAGCCCACTCACTACAGCGTAGGCAAAAGAGAAGACTTGGAAAAGCATGACAGTGGTAATTAACAGACCACAGAAACCAGCGTCTCCAAGGCCTGGCTGAGGAACCACTTCCATCTGCCTTACCCCTACGAGTGGCATCCTTTCCTTCGTGCATGCGCTGAGACCCTCTGCTTCTGTAGAACTCAACATGCTCAAATCATTGTTGCCAGCTCTCTGTTCCACAGGCACATAGCTGATATGTGTCCTTTCTGAGAGAGCACACAGGACATTAGTGATAATGAGCTCTTCTCGGAAACTAGAGTCGGAAGGGAAGAGCCAGTTTACTAGATGCCTTTTTTTTTTCTTTTCTTTTTTGTCTCGTTCAGCTGTGGGTCAATTATAGTAGCCAATTGTATTACTAACTGACTAGAATAAACAAGATAGGGGCTGCGAGCTTCTCTGACTGACTGACTGACTGGTCTCTAGACCTGGGTGGTGCTGTGCATAGTCAGGATGCTGACACTCAAATGCCACCAAGTAGTCTCCTGAGCATGGTTTTCACTGAGGGCCAGCAAGAACTGCTGACTGGGACAGTGACTTAGCCCCTAAGATCAGCTTCATGCCTCGCTGAAGTTATGTGAACCATTCACACTTTTGCTCATTCCAGCTCCTGAGGCAGTTAAATGTCTTATAGTCTGCTCTCTTCCTTGCCCAGGCTAGCAGGGAAACTCTCTGACACAACTGCATACCTCTCCTCACCTACACCCATACAGTAGGCCTATCAGGAACTCTACCCTCTCTCCCCACTCCCAGTTTTCCACAGATCTGACCAGAAGGAAAAAGTGGGTGGCAAACCATCTGACCAGAGGGCAAAGAAGATCTTGGGAGGGCAGGCTTGAGGCAAAGGGATACTGGGCAGTCTGCAAACACTGCCTGTGGCCACATTCTTTCAAACCATTTTATTAATGTCCGGAGGTTGCTAAAGAACCCAGGAGGCATTTAGACAACTATGCCTGTAGTTGGAAATGTTCATGTAGTTTTCTCAGCATTTCTACAAAGAATTTTGGAATCCCTTTGAAGGATGATATGAATTCATCCACTCACTTTCCTAAAAGTAGGTTTGACAAGGTTTTGGGTTGTTTTGTTTTGTTGTTTTTCCGAGACAGGGTGTCTCTGTATAGCCCTGGCTGTCCTGGAACTCACTCTGTACACCAAGCTGGCCTTGAACTCAGAAATCCGCCTGCCTCTGCCTCCCAAGTGCTGGGATTAAAGGCGTGCGCCACCACCACCCGGCTGACAAGGTTTTATTATAAGATATGAGTTGGATTTTTCCAACGTGGAGAAATTCGAGGATCAACTGGGAGATGCCATCTAGAAAATGATTATCTCTTTTTGTGGAGGGAAGAAGCTGCCTTTGCCCAAGAGGTTAGTAAAACCCATTCTCTAAAGCAAAAATCACCTAACTTAACAATTGGCCTGAATAGCCATCGACCCTATCACTTTAGAAAGTCTGGTTCTAGTTCTGACCTTTGGCTTCGGGAGCTCAGAGCTGGATATAGCACACGCTCCACAGGTGTTTGTTGGTATTGCATTGAGGCATTTCATAACTTTCAGCAGTGTGTCACAGGGCTGGATGAGAATGAAGGGGACCCTGAGTGCTCCCCAAATTCTAGCCTTTACCAATGTTCACTTTTAGTGGTATAGTGCTAGAGACCAAGCAGTGGCCTGCAGCAGTCAGCTTCCCCTTTTCAGGAGTAGCTTATTAAGAATTTCAGAAGCGGGGCTGGAGAGATGGCTCAGCGGTTAAGAACACAGACTGCTCTTCCAGAGGTCCTGAGTTCAAATCCCAGCAACCACATGGTGGCTCACAACCATCCGTAATGAGATTGGATGCCCTCTTCTGGTGTGTCTGAAGACAGCTACAATGTACTCATCAATAAAATAAATAAATAAATATTTAAAAAAAAAAAAGAATTTCAGAAGCTTTTGGGGTTACAGCTATGTGCTGACTTGCTTCTCCTGGCACCCTGGTGATCTGGTTTACTGATTCACCGAGGAAAGGTTTGGTTGTTTTAAAAAAGCATTATGTGGAAGTCGTAACTGTTACTATGCACTGGCTACACCTGCCAGGTCCTGCCCTAGCTTTCTACCTTGTAGCTAGTTTAAAAGTGATGGGGACACTGAACCTTATAAAGATTGAAATCTATCTTAATCTGGTGTGTGTGTGTGTGTGTGTGTGTGTGTGTGTGTGTGTGTCTGAGGGTGTGTACATTCCACTCTGGAGACAAGAAGTGGGGGTGTCTGGGCCTCCCTGATATTCTCTTCATGACAGTGGCCCTCATGGGAGCATTTGAGTCTTGGCAGTGTTTTGGGCTTCTGTCACGTTTACAAACCTCTGGGGCTCTTGAATATATATCAAGAGACTGAGTTGTGGTTTTGGCTGTATGTATATCACACCAGCTCCAGGCTCCTACAGATTCCGGTGAGTCAGGACTGTGGGGTGTAGATAGATGCCTGCCTTGTGTTTTCCCTTGATCATGACAGAATTGCAAAGTTCCCACCCAAGTGGAAAGCTGCCTTCTCAAAAGTCACTCAAAATGGCCATGGCATATTTTACTCACTGTTAATTTTTTTCCCTCCTTAGACAAGGTCTCTGTCTACAATATCTGTGGCTGGCCTCAAGCATGCAGATATCCTCCTGCCTCTGCACCCTGAGTGCTGGGGTGACAGTTATGTACTGCCATGCCTGGCATAAAGATGAGCCCAGGTCTTTGTGTTTGCTAGGTTAACTAAGCCACATCCCCAGCACTGCTCTTAATTCTTCCTGGTTCTTTTTCTATCCTGGCAGGCAGAGGATGCTAAAGAAGTACCCAGCCAGAGTCTTTATGTTCTGCTTGTAGCTGGAGAGCTTAGATTTGAGAGTGATCTGTGCTTGCATATACTTGCTCTGCAACTTTGATCACAAGAAGTAGAATTCTTTCTTGGAGCCTCGGGTTTTCCATTTTGAAATGGGTTAACAATGGCCTTCTAAAGCTACCAAGATCATTAAGGGAAGCATAGAGTCATATTCTGGAGCTCAGTGGCTAGTGCTCAGTGCTCTTACTCAAGTGTTTCTTGTATATTATTTTAAAGCACCATGTTGTAAAATTATATACATTTTAAACTGGGTGTAGAGGCTCATGACTGTAATCCCAGTTACTTGGTAGCCTGAGGCAGGAGCTTCCAAAGTTTGAGACCAGCCTGGGTAACTTAGCAAAACTGTATGTTGTTTTTTGGTTTTTGTTTTTGGTATTTGTTTTTGTATTTTAACAACACAGGGTAGATGGGTAGCTGAGTAGCAGACCACTTGCCTAGCATGCACAAAGTCTTCATTCAATCCCCACTACTGAAAATAAAGAGAAAGAAAAATTATAGACATTTTAATCTGCATTTAGAACATGCCAAAGCCAAGCTGAAGGGCATTTGGTAATAACTTGTAGTGAACGTCAAACACTTTATAGCATTCATATAGATGAGTTTTTATGTGGAACACCAATTAATATATAAAACAGTTCAAAACAGACTTCTCTGACTGATGTGGGGGTGTGGCCCCCAGGGCTTCTCAGAACTAAATGACCAATCTACAGGGTGGTGGAAGAGATGCTGCGACTCCACTCTGTCACGCAGCGTTGGCGAGTCTTCTGGGCTTCCCATCCATGTCTGTGGAGCTGGAGCAACAGAACCTGGGCAGCACTGTAGAGAACACTGAGCTCAGCACGTCACTGTTGGCTGCTCTCAGAGAACACAAAGGATAGGCTAACAAGCCATGGCAGGTTGTGAAAGAAGTTAATGTCAGGCTGACTCTAAGGGAGCACACAGGGTCTCCCCAGCTGGCACTGTCCAGTCTTCTCCCCTGTGTACCTGTCCAGTACATCACCTCATTCCCTAGGATCTGGGTAACAGGGAGGCTTCCTGCCAAGCATCTAACCATGGCCTTCATCAGGTCCACACCTTTCTGCACATATGCTTGCTTTTGTCCACTGAGGGTCACTGTTTCTGTAATGGACATCCTCTTCACAGCTCTGAACAAAACCTTTTCCTGCCTCTAGCATTTTCCTGCCTGTCCTCCTGAGACAGCACTACTTCTCACTGTCATGAGTCTGCTCCCTATCACAGCTGGCTGTATGCTCATGCCCAATGTCCCAGCACAGAATGTGGGCATCAGGTTTTATCCGCACCTCTCCATCTCAGCCAGTGGAGTGACAGTTCCTCCCAGTCCCTCACTAGGGTCTTCTGCTTATCACAGAAATTCATCCTTTCTTTCCAGGCTCCACATCTGTGACCTAGGCACTTAATTATGCAATTTCTGTCTCAGTTGTCTGGCACTGTCCTGGTGTCTGGATTTAGTGAAGGAAATCTCCATCTACAAACTACCAGCTGAGCACAGGAAGTAGTCATGGACTATGACTAAAAATATGAATAAAGAAGGTGCTAGAAACACCACTGGTACTGAAGCTGGGAGATGTACTGGCTCCTGGAGGGGTGCAGGCAGGCTTGTCTTCTGAGAGGCCACTTTTAGGCTGAGACCTGCTAGAGAATCAGAGGCTACATCCCACATGTATGGACAGAGGCGAAGACCACCATATTAGAGGGAAGAGCACCTTCTAGGGCCTTGAGAGTGGGAAGAAGGGCTGGATTCCCTAGGATCCAGGTAACAGGGAGGCCACTTGCTAAACATCTGACCTTGGCCTTTCATTGGGTCCATCCCTTTCTGCATGTATGCTTGCTTTTGTCCACTGAGGGTCATGCACGTAGTGGACAATATGAGGGCTTGTGATGGGAGCTAGGAGGAAGAGGAGAGAGGTGTTGGGGCTGCAGTAGGGGCATCAGCAGGCTGGCTTTCAAGGGATCCTCTAGGGAATGGCTAGCAGAAGGAGGAATTTGAATCCACTCCAGGTAAGAAATGTGTAAGAGTTCAGGTAATGTATATAGGAGGCACCCTGTGTCAGTCACCACTTAATGTGGATGTGACTCAGAATGTAACACTACCTTGTAAACATGTACAAATGGCATGTGTTGTGTGTCAATCACAAAGGTCAAAAGTGATGTAAATATAAGAATAATAGAATAACTGGGACTGTTTGAGGGGGAACCAGATTAGAGTGAGGGGAGATAAGAATGAGATGAGGCAGAGTTCCTATCTGAGGATGGGCTGTGAGTGAACGGGTCCTCCAGGGGGCTCTCTGGGAGGATTTCTTGCCCTAGGTAGATACCGCATGGAACAAAACTCTGTGCTTGCTTGGAGTGTAAGGGTCTCTTCTCTGCACCTGTGAGACAGGAATATAATGTATCCCTGACCCTCACCCTACTGTCAGCAGACATAGGGCAGGGAGTAGAGCCTTCTTTGTTCCATTCCTATGAGAGGCATCCTCAGGGAGCTTCTTCAATTCCATTATTATTATTATTATTATTATTATTATTATTATTGACTGAGAGGTAGAGTGGGTAAAGGAACACCACACACAGTTTCTCCAGAGCCAGCAATCATACATGCAGGCACTCTAGCTCAACCTTGCCAGCTTCTTGCAGGTACAAATCCTTTTTAAGTTGAAGCTGCCCTTCATCCCTGGTTTGCTTGGATCATAGGAAGCTGTGTGTGAAGGGTATTGCCATCACAGCAGCATTCTCTCTCTCTCTCTCTCTCTCTCTCCTTTCCTCCCCCCCTCCCCCCCCCCCCCCCCCCCCCCCCCCCCCCGCTTGCATTTCCCTGCCTTGTGGAGGAGTTCACTAGGTTTCAGCTCTGGAGGGTGGCGAGGCTGACAGAGCTGCAGAGGGGGGAGGCTAGAGGGTGAGCCACATGTTTGCTGCTGTGATGGGTGGCCACTGAGGAGTCTGTCTCCTCACCTGTAAAACCGGAGCACACAGAGTCTCCAGGCTGTGGTGGAGATCAATCCACCAGGCCAGTCAGGAATCTTCCCTATAGATAAGAATCCTGAGCAATGTTAGGTAATAACACTGGCCTCGTGGAGGAGGGGTTCTCGGCTCACGGAGCCTATGCTTCTATCAAGCTCTGAGCCATTGGCATTACAGTTTGCTTGAATCCTTTTTCTCTTTCAAGGGAAGGCATCATAAGGCATCCTCCATCCACATTGGCCCCTCCTGGTTGGAGGGAGCACAACACAAGCTGTACCAAGGTTAGTTTGGCAAGATCTCTTACCAAGAAGCCAGCACTAGAAATTTTATTTCAGGTAGTTTGGGAAAGCCACCATGGATGACTCTGTTCAGAAGCAGAGTATGTGGTTCCCAGGGCCAATCTCTAGGCATGTTGAACCTATGCTGCAAATTCAGGACACGTCATGGTTCAGGGCTGAGTAAACAGGTACCCTGCAGCAGCTAAGAGGGTGGGGGACAAGATCCATCTCATTCCATCATCTCATTTCAGGAGACCCTGGGGTCCCGGGGGCAGATCCAGTATGGGACAAAGCCCTGGATATTACTCTTGCTTTAAACATAGATTAATCTGGGTACAGCTGGGTGAGATGACGTCAGATCAGCCTGGGCTCTCAAAACACCTTGCAATCCAGGTCTTAACAGGTTATAGTGCACCTCCCTGTTTGTATTTATGTTCCCCAGAATCCCAACATCTGTGATCATCAGCTTCTTAGGCATAGTGCCCAGGTCGGTTCTCAGGACATGAAATATGGAAGTAACATATGACACTTCAAACACGTACAGCCCAAGAAGCATTTTCTATATATCTGCTATGTGTTCAGTCCTCAACCTTGCCACTGCTACCAGGGTGGGGGATTTCCAGCTCAGATCTGCTCTCTGTTCCTATAGGTTTACAGTTGGGTAAAATGAAGTTCCACCAGATACCAGCTAATCTTGCCAAATTTAGACACTGAGTCAATCCTAGGCCTTATTTTTGACAGAGCAACTCCCTTTCTGTGATCCTCAGTTTCTTAGCCTGGAGAATGAGGAGAATGGATTGACCAAATATGCAGACAGATATAATCTAATCTAGCTCGAAGCCCACAAAATTGTATTGTGAGCATCTTCTCCTTCACAAAATTTGGTTTTGTGTTCTCAAGGACCTAAGGATCTATCCAGCCAGCGTCACTTCCCCTTTGTATACAAAACAGGCTCAGAGGCCTTCTCTGTATTGAATGACGCCACACAGGAAGAAGCCAATCAGCTGGGGGCGGAGCTTCAGCCTCCATCTTGTTTGTCCTTTAGACCTTGAACCTGCACCAACATGGCTTCCCTATTCCTGTCTTCCTTCCCACCTAGGAGCTCAGGGCCTACTGTTATGTAGGGAGCTGGGGGTCGAGAAGGCCCTGGCTGAGTCTGGGGGTGCAATTTACTGGTAGATACAGGTGTGGCTGCAGACAGTGGGCGAGCAGAAGGGCTGACAGCCTGGGTCTGGGTGTTCTAGCTGAGCCCAGTAAGGCTCCATTTGGCTACAAGATAAAGGACTGCTCTTCCTTGCCATCTGGGAGCCTCTGCCTGGTCTCCCGACTGGTCATTTTCAAGAGTCTTCCTCCAAATTTATGCCCCCACTTCCAAGGCCCCACCCCCACCCCCAAAACCATCACCTAATACTAAAGGAGCTAAAGATCTATAAAGAGTGATGAGGAGACAGAGTGCAGATCTCTGTCCTAGTTATGGAGAAGGAGACTTCAAGGCTGTCTGTCATACCCGTCAATTCAATTGCCACCAGCCTGAATGTTTTTGAGATCCTGGTTGGTTGTCTTCTCAGAACCTTACGTCGACGTCGACTCCTGCTATGACGCTGCGCAAAAAAAATCAATCAATATTTCTCTCTTTCCTCCCCCTCCCCCTCCCCCTCTCTAGGCCTCAATGTCTCCATCCGGGCAAATAGCCAGGTGGGGCTAGGCCCTGTGAATGTCAGGCCTCTCCTAGGGCTGACATTTTAAGGTACACTGTCATGTATTTTTCCTTCCCTCCCAGAGGCTGGGGGACCAATGCCTTGGGAGGGATATCAAGCTTAAAGATATCTCTCCCCAAGGGTTCCCACCCAGCGGCAGCAGGTGCCCCTCCCCTTTCAATGGTAAACTACTGCGTCAATCATGTCTAGGCCCGCAGCAGATCGCGGCCTAGCCCTTTAGCTTTGCTGTTTGAGCAACGCCAGCAAGAGAGTGAACGAGTGAGCGCAGCGCTACCGCGGCGACCGCCGCGGCCGCGGCGGCGCAAGGGGCGGGGGAGGAAAGAAGAACCCACTTGTCCCGCTGCTTCGCAGCAGCCCTGGCCCTGACCTCTGCGCATCTCTGCGGTTTTTGTAACCCTGGGGTTTGTTAGCCTGCCCAGAGCCAGCTGGAGCACACCATCACTAGATCGCACAAAACGACTCCCCAGGCCCCCCCTCCCCATTCCCTAACTCGGCCAGGCTAGCGCAGATTATTCTTCGCCACTAGCTGCGGGAGGCAAGGGACCGCGACGCTCCGACGTCTGTCTCGCCCTTTCCAAGCCGAAGTGTTGGGAATTTCACACTTCGGGCAGAAGATGGGGGCTATCAGGGATGGGGGGTGGGGTGGGGGGGCTAGGGGCACCATTTTGAGTTGGACGGTGATGAGATTCCTTGCCCGAGTTGGTCCTTTGGACCCCATCTTCATCTGTATCTCCAAGTTTCAGCCTCCGTGTCCCGCCCCCCCACCACCACCACCTACGGGGTTTACCCTGCCAAGGCCGCAGCTGGTAGCGACGCCCTACCCGCAGTCCCTATCTCCTCTGCCCCTACTAGGGTCACCCTCCCAATTTGGTCCAGTCGGACCTTCCCGAGAAAGATGCTAAGACTCCCTAAATTCTTAGAGGAGAGGGTCAAAGTTCTGTCACCGAAGCTAGATGGAAGGCCTTGAACCCTCAAAGGCCTGATCAGGGGCGCGGGAGGTCGGGACGCGGCGTTCCTCTCACCTGTTTGCTGCTGGACTCCTTGGAGGAACTACCTCGCTTGGGTGAGGGCGCGCGTTTGCAGATAGAGCTTTCCAGCAGGTAGAGCCCCGAGGGCCGAGGGCTAGTGTCGCTGTCGAAGTAGAAGAGCATGTTCTGAAACAGCGCAAACCACCTGGTATGCCATTTTTGGCTGTCCGAACTCCTCTTGCACAGGTAGCCTTTGCGCGTGCCCTCTTTCTGGGCCAGCATCCCCAGGGCCATGACATGGCCATCGTTCATCCGGAGGGCTCTCTGCATGGTGCTAGAAGGCCAGAGAGACCTCACGCACTTACATCTCAGAGAGGCACCCGACTGCCCCTCGTCGGTGCGCGCCGCTCTGGCGTTCTCTGGCGCTCGCCGAATCGCTCCCTCCCTCCCTCCCTCTCTCTCTCTCTCCCCCCTCCCTCTCTCTCTCTGACACTCCACCCCCTTTAAGATCTACACTTTGAGATCTGACGCCGAGCTCCTAGCTGGACCCTTCCTTGCTAGAACCTCTTCTCTCGGCAGAGCCGGGGGGGGGGGGGGCCCCGGGGGGTCTCCCCCCCCCCCCCCCCCGCCCCGGGGGGGGGGGGGGGGGGCCCAGGGGATGTCGCCCGACCCTCCCTCAGCGAACTGAGGGAAGGGCGGTCTGTGCGTTGGCTGGGGGGCAGCAGGCGGAGTCATATGACGCCAGTCCCTCGAAGAGCCCGTTTCAGCAGCGCGGACAGGGACACACGCACGCACCCCCGCCGAGGCGCAGAGCCGCACGCAGGCTGCACCTTGGCGCCTCCTCCCCTCCCCGGACACACACACGCACGCACACACACACACACACACACACACACGCCTACTCCTCCCTCCTTGTTTTCCTCTTCTCCACTTCTGGTGTTCTAAGCCAATTCAGATCAATTTTCGTTCAACCCAATGGCACCCGGGAGACTCACCTCCCCGGAGTTTGTGTTCTTTGCGCCCCGCTGCGGCGTACCTTAGACCTAGAGCTAGCCCCCCCCCCCCCCGCATTTGTCATTTTTCTTTCCTACAGCTTTCCCTCACCTTCTTTCCCTACTTTATTTTTCTAATTCAAGGTGGATGGAAGAAGGTGGCTAGCGAAAGGGATGTACTAGTTTGTTCATAACCGTTCGAGTCTCTCTCTTTTTCTTCTGTTTTCAGCTCTATTCCTCGCGGCTTCGCCAGCGACCTGAGAATACAAGGGCTGAACTTGGGTGGGGAGAGGTGACTGTTTAGTTTTATTTCATTTTGAGAGGTGCCATAATTACCAGTGTCACTCCATGAACCCTAAGGTCTGGCTAGCAAGTCGCTGCTAGGAGTTTTCAGCAAATACCCCTGAAGCCTGAAGGCGGGCTTCAAACACAGGCTCCGGGGACCATGGGGGCCTTCAAATAGCTGCTCTGGCGCAATGATACCTTAATGATAGATTTTCCGTTCTTATTTTTAGCTTCAATTCGCCTACACAGTTACACGGCATTTATCCGAGAACGTCACAGAGCCCGCATGCTGCACCGGCAGAGCGCGCGGGCTGCTGGGCCAGCCGGGATCTGGTGCGGGGAGCGCGCATCGCCGTCTGCCGCAGAGGGCAGCGGCCTCATTGAAACCGGGAACGGCGCCCAGCGCTGACAGTTTGCAGCCGGGACGGGTGTCCTCGCAGCTCTCTGGAGAAAAAACACCATCTTTCCTCACAGAACCGCGAGAGCCCTTCCCCCTTTAGAGCACACACACACACACACACACACACACACACACACACACACTCACACCCCATACACCATGATCTGGAATGGAGCTGTTCCAGTTCAGGACATAGTGGTCCAGGCCTGTGTTCCTATACTATATTAATTTTTCTTCCTCGGGTAATCAAAAGAAAAAAGGGCAGAGGGTTAAGCCTCTTCATGAAGACTTGATTTGCTCAAGAGAGCCTGTGAAATGATGAGATAATTTCCCCTTGTTTTTTAATTTTCTTCTTTCTTCTGCCCCATCCATCTTTTCCCTACTTAGCCCTTTCTCCTCTTTTCAGACTACTTCTGGTTATGTAGCCCAGGCTGGCTTGAATTTCTGATGTTTCCACGTCAGCGCCCTGACTGCAGGCAACTACCTAACCTTCTCTTGCCTTCGTGTGGAAGCAGAATTTTCAGGATTGAGGTTTTTATGTAAATTCCCGTTAGAAAACCTGTTACAGAAAGAACCAAGGAAATCTCTGATAAGGGTCACTATGCTAAAACCACTTTGCCTCAGATTGGTCAGTCCATTTTCTCTGTAGACTTCAGTGTAGGTTGGGTTTGGGTTCACACACTTAGGGTTTATTCTAATGGAAAGTGAAGGAATTGGAATTTGAACCAGATTGAGGCTGATATAGAGCAAGGCTTTGGAGTTGCATAGAGTGGCTGGGGTTTATCCTCCAATGGTGCCAGATAGTCAGGGAGTGAGTCTTCTCTGCATGAGCTAGAGCCATGGTTGAAGCTTGTAAGGCAGACAGACAGACAGACCTACAGTACCTACAGATGTTCTGACTGCACCTGAGCTCTAGATTTATGGATGGATGGGTAACACATGTTCACAAGGGATTTCACCACGGGAGTTTGGAGACTTACTGATATATGGCAGAATTAATGATGCTGCCTTGGGCACATGAATCACCTGAGATTGTGGTCAGAGGTACACTGTTCCTCAGGGGAGCCAGGCGGGGTCTAAGCCAGACCTGTTACACTGCTTTGCAGTTTACTCATTAGATGTTGGGCACTTGGGAGGTGAGAGAGTGTCGGACTCATCATTCTCTCTCACACATTCTTATTCAGTTGGCTGGATCCTGGAGAGACACAATGATAAGAAAAACATAGTCTCTGCCTTCTGGAGCTTGGGCTAGCCTAGGAACACCTTTGCTCTAGAACTCCTAGGATAGCCAGAGGAAAAACCCACTTTCTCTTAGGTTTGAGGAAGGCATGGTAAGCAAAGGTGTCAGTCAGGAGGAGAATTGAACCCCCTTCAGAAACTCTGAGCTTCCGTGCACTTTAGAGGTTTAAAGTCTGTGTTCAGACCTTACTCCAGGCTAGTGAAGACAGAATTTGGACATGTGCACCCTATTTAGAAGTTCCTGGGAGATCCCAGCATGGAGCCGGGGCTAAGAACCATTAAAGCTCCCTCTAAGCAGAAGCAGATCTCTGCAGGGCCCTCCCTCCTGCCCTGGTTAGCACTGGGGTGCTGGAGTCATATACTTTTGCTAAGCCTGGGGTTCTGGGACTTTCTGGTGAGCTAGACCGTGCTGGAAGGCCTGCATTAGCTCGAAGCTTCTGTGCTAGAGAGAAGAAAATGGTCGGAGACCTGTCTGGAATTTGATTACTCTTATGTAAGATGTGTGAATATTGCTTTTTTTTTTTTCCTTCCAGTGACCACAGGCAGAAACCTGAGATAACATTTGGCCTCTTGGCAGTCTTTTGACTGGAATCAAGCTCAGTGCTCTTGGAAGCCACTTAATGATTCTGGCTAAGAAGTTATCATTTCCAAGGCTGGTTCTTGGCTCATGGAAGAGCCATAGAGAAGGTGGGCATCCTAGAGGGAAGGAGGAAGGCTCATAAGACCTTACAAGCCTCTTCTCCTAGTCACTGTTCCATTGCAGTGAAGAGACGTCATGACCAAGGCAACCCTTGGGTTTAATCTGGAAGCCTGCCCAGAAAGACTGGGTCTAGTGTGTGCTTTTAAAACTTGAAGGTACATCTCCTCCAACAAGGCCACACCTTCTTCTACAGGGCCATAGTTTCTAATCTTTCTCAGTTTACCAATCAATGACTAAGTATTGAGCCTATGGGGGCCATTCTCATTCAAACTACCATAGATCTGGAAGCTTGGACCTAAGGAGACTCACAGAACTCCCTAGGGTTAGGTGAGCAGTTGCTGGGGCAGGTGGTAATGGAAGAGAAAACCTTCAAGAGAACTGCCAGCAAGTTGGGCAGGAAGCTCCAGGGATGCACCCATTATTGGGAGGGGGCGTGGGTTAGTGATATAGCTGCCTTTGAGTTACCCACACCCTGTAAATGATCCCAGTAATCTCCTTGGTTCCCCAAGCTAGAGAACTGTGTGAAATTCTTTGATTTATCATGGCTGCCCTCTCTGTAACAAATACATGTTAATTCATATCGCTCCCCTGCCTGCCAAAATCAGAGAACACAATATGTTGTCAAAGTTAGTAGAACTTAGTAGAAAGGGGCACACTTGGAGGTTAAACACAGTGTCTACAGGTTCAAAAGTTTAGGCTCTTCTCCAGGGAAGGGCAGAGGCTGACTAACCACTGTGCATTTGGGCCTTGTCTTCTAGGTTCACTACATCCCTCCAAATAAAATTTTTGAACAGAGGTTAAAAACCCCATTTTCCAGGTGGAAAAACTGAGGCCTCACTGTGAGTGTGTGTGTGTGTGTGTGTGTGTGCATGCGCACGTGTAAATGTGCATTTAGAGAATTTTTTTCCCCTTTGGCAACATATTAAAAAAGAAAAGCTTTGAAACAGAGACATTAAGTTTATGGAATCAGAGAATTTTTGGCATGTAGGATATTTTGTATTTAATGGTTACTATTGCAAACGTGATATTTTTATGTTTTGAACTTAATTTTTGTAAGGTGGGGGCTTGCTGCGTTGTGCAGGCTGGACCCAAACTTGGAGATTCTCCTGCCTCTGCTTTCACAGTAGCTGAGATTACAGGCATATCCCATCACACATTTTTAAAAGTGAACGTTAAAAGTTTTTAAAAGTGAACATTATTGGCAGAAAAGGAAGCTATTGCTCTTTATGTATTTATTTTTAAGCCACTACTATGAAATGAATTTTTCTGACTTTAATAGTGGAATATAGCAGTGAATTTCCCAACACTTAGGCAAGATAGTATCTTTCAGACAAACTCCACTTAAAGAAGGAGCATTTTTACATTATTTTTAATTTGTTTAGCTTGTCTTTCTTGAGTCAATCTCAGTGTAATTTCCAAGATAATTTGTTCACACTTTCCAATTTATTACACTTGCTACCAAACAGTCTCTGTCATTCCAAGTTTCTCCATCTGTGTCACCTCTTCTTTAACATGCTGATTTTGTCTTCATAGAATTGCTCTTCTCTTATAAATATTTGATTTATATTAAGATGTTCAACTACTTATTGATTCTACTGTTTTCTAACTCATCAATACCTATGTTTATTAATTGTTTTTCTTTTATTTTTTGGTGTTATTTTTTATTGCTATTCCTTCTACCTCTTGAACGAATGGTTTATTTTCATGATTTCCT